CCTGACCAAAGGTTCAGAGAGCTGGGAAAATCCTGGGAATAACCCCTCTGTCCTGCAGACTCGATTTGGGGCAGCTCAGGACGACTCCATGTGATCTGTGAGCACAGCTTGTCTCAAAGCTCCCAAGAAGGGTGACAGTTTCACTTAAAGCCACGTTCAAGCCTCAGAAAATCCAGGGAAAGCTTCCAGAAGCCAAACTCCAATTGTATAAAAATGGAAAATTTGATTTTGTATCAACTGCCCTGTGCTGCTGCTGGAGCTGAACTCAAATCCTGGTTATGCTGCAAAGTTCTGGGGGACAGAAGCAGTTACTGAGCTGGTGGCACATTCCATCAAATGGGAATTTGGATGGAAAAAACCTGCAGAATCACAGAAAAACCCCCAAACACACCCAGTTTCTCCCTGCCCTCATGCATACCCACAAGTCCCCCAGAGCCCAGGAGAGGGGTTACTCACTTGCCATGGGAATAGGTCAGTTTGTTGTTCTCGGAGGGGATTTTGGCCAGGATCTGCTCAGTGACCTCCAGGAAGTTGCCCCCACACCAGGCGTGCTTGGCCAGGATGGTGGTGCCCCTCGCCACCACTGCAAACAGGATGGCCATGGCTGCTCTCCTGTTGGGACAAAACAGGGTGACATCAGGAGTGGGGGCACCTGCAGGGTGCCACAGGGACTGCACAGTGTCCCCTGGCACAGGGAGCAGAACATGGCCAGGACTCAGCCAGGACACCACAACCACAAAGGTCTCTCATTTCCCCTTTTAGGCTCTGCTCATGATGACACTAAACCCTCTAAAAAAAGGGTTTTTATCACCTCTGTGCCCTGCGAGGGTGGCAAAGCTGAGGTTACCCAGAGCAGCTGTGGAGCCAGCATCTCTACGTGAAGAGCAGCCAAAGCGGAAACCAGACCCAACAAGTTTATGAGGATGAAAGAAAATGAAACCTTGGATAAGTCACATTAAATGCTGCTCACAGCAGAGGAAAGGGCAGCCCCCACAGCCAGAGCAGCTGTGGCTGCCCCTGGATCCCTGGAAGTGTCCAAGGCCAGGCTGGATGAGGCTTGGAGCCACGTGGGGTAGCAAAAGATGCTGGAGGTGGAATTGGGTGAGCTTCAAGCTCCCTTCCAACCCAAACCATTGTGGGATTCCCTAAGTCTCCAGAGCTGGAAAAGCATCCCTGCTGCCACAGAAAGGGACACTCTTAATCAGCTCAAGTATCAGCACATTAATCTACAGGCAGAGCCAGATCTAACACATGGAGCACATGTCAGAGCCCAGCTGGGACAGCTGCCCTGCTCATCCTGCACATCCATAAGCCTCTTTTCTGCTCAGGAAGGACTTAGGATGACTTTGGACCCTGCAAAACCCAAAAATCTCATTTTTCACTTTGTACTTAGGCCCTACTTACTACCTGCTCTGTTCTATGCCTCAACAGATCTGGCATGATCCCAGACCTCTCCTGAATCCCCCAGGAGAGCTCTCTGGGAACAGCCACAGAGCAGGAGGGCTGGCTGAGATTCTGGATCCAGATTTTCCATCCCCCTGGCACTGCCTGGTGAGAATGAGGGATCTCTTCTGGATTAACAAGGCCATGAAGGGAGATCCAACCACCACTCCAGCAGGGCTCACCTGGGCAGGCTGAGCCCCACAGATCCAGGCCTGGCCAGCACCAACCAGAGCATCTACAAACCTGCCACAGGTCTGAGAGCAGCATTGGAGGGGAAAAGGATAAAGTCATGGATTTACTCACAGGACAGACTCCACACAACCACCTGGGAGCACTGCCAAGGGGAACAGAACCATGGAATGGTTGGGGTTGGAAGGGACCTCAAGACCATCCCCATGGCAGGGATACCTTCCACTGTCACAGGTGCCTCCAAGCCCCAGTGTCCAGCCTGGCCTTGGACACTTCCAGGGATCCAGGGGCAGCCACAGCTGCTCTGGCTGTGGGGGCTGCCCTTTCCTCTGCTGTGAGCAGCACTTAATGTGACTTATCCAAGGTTTCGTTTTCTTTCATCCCCATAAACTTGTTGGGTCTGGTTTCTGCCTTGGCTGCTCTTCAGGCAGAGATGCTGGCTCCTGCAGAAGCTTCCAAGGAATTGCTTACTCCTTTACGTTTCAGCTCTGAGTAATCTCCACTTTGGCTCATTTTCAGGTCGAAATGCTCCTGTCTTAAATAATATTGTGAGCTAACTCAGCTCAGGGAATTCACTGCACCCTCCTGTCCCTGCAGAGCCACTGGACACAGAGGCTTTGGCCAGCCCAGGGCTGCCCAGGCCTGTGGAGCAACACCAGGGCACAGCCTGGAATCACAAACACCTCTTGAGCAATCAGCTTAGTGTCCAGCACCAGGAAACCACTGTCTGCTCCTGCAGTCACCCAGGAGCCACAGAAAGGAGCAGCTGTAGCAGAAAACACACTCCAAACCCTGCCCCTGCAAGGCCAGCTGAGACTCAGGGTACAGAGCCCTCACACAGACACCTCCGTGCCCTGAGCAGAACAAATGCAGCCCCAGCTGAGGATTGTGGTTCAGACAATTCCTACAAATCTCTGCTCATTTAATACTGGATATTGGTGGAACCTGAGGTGACACTCGCTGGCACTGCAGGATCCCACAGTCCTCAGTTCCCTGAGTTCCTGGCTCTCACCTCCCTGGACTCACACCCTCAACTCCCCGAGTTTACAGTCCTGACTCCCCAAATTCCTGGCCCTCGCTGTGCTCAGGACACAGGAGCTCTGTGCCTGGCAGTAACACCAGCCCCAGCTCTGAGCAGAAGGAGTTAAATGAAGTAAAAGAGATTAACCAGGAGCATTTTTCTCCCTGAGCAGCCCTGTACCAGCCCAGTGTTACTCCTGTTAGTAACACAAATCTGTTAGACTGCCACAGAACGTCCTTCCTCAGCAGTTGCAGGAGTCAGAAATGAAATCCCTTTACATCAACCCCACTGCAGAGCTTTTTTACATCTAAACTTACAATATTATACAGCTGGAAGCAGCCAAGACCAAACCTTCCAAAAAGACACTGCAAGACGCACGAGCTGCTGTCTGAGGTCCCTCTGGGGATTGAACTGAAAGATCCTAGAAACACAGAAGGGTCTGGGTTGGAAGGGACTTCAATCCCATCCACTGCCACCCCTGCCATGGCAGGGACACCTTCCCCTGTCCCAGGCTGCTCCAGCCCCAGTGTCCAGCCTGGTCTTGGGCACTGCCAGGATCCAGGGGCAGCCACAGCTGCTCTGGGCACCCTGTGCCAGGGCCTGCCCACCCTCACAGGGAACAATTCCCCACCAATACAAGGGCACAGAAAAAAGGCACAGAAAAAAACTCTTAAGGAACATCAGAAACACAGGCTCAGTCTCCAGCACGATGTTTAGAACTCCTGTAAGGATGATTTACTATTTTCCAGTGACTCTTCTGGCCCAGAAGATTCCCAGCTTAGTGCCAGTGAGCCATGAAGGTCCCTGCCTGCACTTCCAGAAATCCTCTTAACAGAAAGCAAAGGGCACCGCTGCCGTTTAAGCAGGGAACAAGGGAACAAGGGGAGGTGTTGCAATCCAGCGAGCTGCAAACTGCTGCAATAAAGAGATCGTTTGAGCAGGATGAGCTCAGCAGAAAGCAGCCCTGGCTTCGGGCTTCCCTTTAACCTCTGCCGGGCAGCTGGAAAAATCATTATTTCATTACAGAATGTTCCACCATGAAGTCCTGGGGCTCTCCTGTTCATTTTGAACCTGAGAATTGCGACATTTGTGCTCCAACTTATCCCACGTTCAGCCTCCCTTCTGCACACAGAATTTACTTCAGGTTCCCCCACTGCATCACTACAGAAACAAATCACCAAGGAAATCAATCCACGTGGTCTTCCAGCCCCATCGCCTTTCCTGGAAGCAGCATTGCAGGGTTTGGAAGGGGGTAAGGACACACAACACGACGGTGATTGAGTAAGCAGCTCTCTAAAAAGGGAACACGTGCAGCCCATGGAATCGGGGAATTGTTGAGGTTGGAAAAGCCCTCCAAGAGCACCGAGTCCAACCATTCCCCAGCACTGCCAAGGCCACCCCAACCCATGTTCCTAAGTGCCACATCCACACGGCTTTTAAATCCCTCCAGGGGCGGGCACTCCACCACCGCCCTGGGCAGCTGTGCCAGGGCTGGACAGCCCTGTCCACGGAGGAATTTTCACCAATATCCAGCCTGACCCTCCCCGGCACAGCCACATCCTGACATCCTGCCGCTGGTCCCCGGAGCAGAGCCCGACCCCCTCCAGCCTCCCCACACCCCCTGCCAGCACACCTGCTGTTAATTAATTCATTAATTAATTAAACCATGCAGTGCTACATCCACAACACCGTCCACTCCCAGACACACCAGTAACAAGCCAGTAACACACTAATAATACCCCGGTAAGAGGCCAGTAACACACCAGTAACACACTAATAACATCCCAACAGCGTTCTGGTAACAGCCCCGGTAACAGGCCGGTAACACAGAGATATAACACCCCAGTAACACCCCAGTAACATGCTGGCAACACCCCCGGTAGCAGGCCAGTAGTACACTAACAACATGCTAGTAACACTAATAACATCCCAGTAACACATCAATAACACCCCAGTAACATGGCGGTAACACCCCGGGTACCAGGCCAGTAACACACTAATAACATCCCAGCAATAACATCAATAACACGCCAGTACCACATCAATAGCACACAGTACCAGGCCAGGAGCTCTCCCGTGACACGCCAATAACACCCCGGTAATCCCCGGTAATCCCCGGTCACCCGCTGTCCCCCGTGCCCGTGCCCCGCTCCCGGTGCCGAGCGCGGCCTCCTCCCGCCGGCAGCGCCTGCCGCCCGCGGGGCAGGGCCAGGGGCTGGGGCTGTGCCCGGCCGGAACCCCCGCACCCAAACCCCCCGGCCCAGCTCAGCCCGGCCCAGCCGGGGCTCCGGGCCCCCCGCGCTCACCGGCGCGCTCGGCCCCGCCCGGCCCGGCCCGACGCGTTTCCGGCCGCGGGGCCGCCGGGAGCCCGGAGCTGCGGGCCCGGAACCGCCATGGCCGGCAGCGGCAGCGGGCCCGCGCTGGAAACCGTGAGGGGGCACCGGGAACCGGGGAGTGGGATCGGGCTCGGGCTCGGGCTCGGGCTCGGGCTCGGGCTCGGGGTGGGGGCGGGGGGGCGCTCGGTCCCTTCCATGAGGCGGAGCAGGGAGCCGGGCCCTGCTCCCGAGGAAAAGCAGCTCACGTTGTGCCAGGGGAGGGTCAGGTTGGATATTGGAGAAAATTCCTCCGTGGACAGGGCTGTCCAGCCCTGGCACAGCTGCCCGGGGCGGTGGTGGAGTGCCCGTCCTTGGAGGGATTTAAAAGCCGTGTGGATGTGGCACCTGGAGGCAGGGGCTGGGGTGGCCTTGGCAGTGCTGGGGAATGGTTGGACTTGGTGCTCTTGGAGGGCTTTTCCAAGCCAAATGATTCCGTGCTTCCATGATTCTGTCATTCCCAAGCCTGGCTTAGTGGTAGGGCACCCTCACGTGTGGTGGAGTGGCATCAGCGTCAGGACAAATCACGTCAGGGTGGCTCCAAGGGACACCCTGTCATCCTGTGGTGCACAGCAGCAGGTGGAGGTCAGGACTAACCTGCTTTAAAACTAGGTGGAATTTTGGAGCTTTCCCTCCTCTCTGAAGGTGTTTTGGTCCCACAGCAGCACCAGAGGTGGCCCAGAGAGATCTACAGCCCTCCTAGCTACTCTGGGAAGCTGAGCATGGGAGCTGATCTCACCCTTCAGGTGTCCCCAACTCAGGGAGGTCACAGCTTCTCTCCTCTCGCACTGGTGACAGATCCAGGCGGATGGGACAGACGGGAACTGTGTCACATTTGTGCTGCACGACGAGGATCACACCCTGGGCAACTCCCTGCGCTACATGGTCATGAAGAAGTGAGTGAGGCCTCTGAGGGACCTCCATGCCCTGCTCTGGCCTTCTCCTAACTGTTAGATCCACACTGCAGCTGTCCCTGGGATCAGGCAAACGATCCCAAATCCCCTCTGTGCACACCCTTCCAGCCTTTGTGTCAGACATGGAGCCCTGCTCCCACCTGCTGCTCCTCCTTTTCCTTGTGCTGTATCAGGATTCCGAGAGCACCAACAGCCCTTAAAGGGCCTGACCAGCCTTTCCTGAGCCTCCACCCACACCCTCCCCTGCCCAGGAACATAAGTTAGGCTCAGCCCAGGGCTTTCAGTCCCTCCTGAGCTGCTGGAGGAGTAACTGGGTCCTGGACTCCCTTTGCTGCCCAGATAGGCTGTGGATTTCCCATCCCTGGAACTGTCCCAGACCAGGCTGGATGGGGCTTGGAGCACCCTGGGGCAGTGGAAGGTGTCCCTGCCCATGGCAGGGGCTGGGACTGGGTTGCCTTTAAGGTCCCTGTGATAAATCACTATGACAACGCAAAAGAAGCTGCTGGCCAAAGCTGGGGGCAAAGCTCCAGCACTCAGCTCAGCTGGAGAGAGAGGCCCTACAACATTTTGGGAGCTCCTCCAGTACCCTGGACCACTCAGCCTCTTCCACCAGCAGAGCAGCAGCAGGTTTGGTTACAGGGAGAATTGCAAGCATCCAGGATCCCCTGTTTGGATCTGCAGAGCTGGCACTGCTCTGGTTGTGGTGCCAGCCGTGTCTTTGCCTGCAGAGCTCCAGCTCAGCTCGGAGAGAGATGGGTGTGAGGGAACAAGGTCACACAGGGAGTTTCCCCTCAGCACATCCCTCCCCTAAGTCATTCTGGAAACATCCAGAGTCCCAGCAGGCCTGGCATGCCCTGAGCCTCTGTCTACCCTGGGATTTGCTGTGGACTGGCCTGGGTCTCACTGCTCCCTCTCCTCTCTGCCCTCCTGCAGCCCTGACGTGGAGTTCTGTGGCTACTGCATCACACACCCCTCAGAAAGCAAGATCAACTTCAGGATCCAGACCAGAGGTGAGCCTGGGGCTGTCTCTCTATGGCTGGGGCTCTGTTCTCATGGAATTCCCCTTGCTCATGCCAGCTTCCCAGGAGTCTGTTAAGTAAAAGAAAGCCCTTTCTCCCTGTCCTCTGCCAGGCACTGCAGTGCTGAGCCCTTTTGCTGAGCCTCAGAGGCTGCTCCCAGAATTCTGCTCCAGCTGCAGTGGGAAGCAGCATCCCTGGCTCCAGGCACCTGGGCTGGCTGGGAGCAGCTCTGGCACCCCAAGCTGTGGGGCTGGGGAGGGGGTACACCCCTGGGAGGTAAGGACTGCCCTTGGGAAGCCACGTCCCATGTCCCTAATCCATCTTTTCCCAAAGGGGCCCTTCCTGCTGTGGAGCCATTCCGGAAAGGACTGAATGACCTGATGGGTGTTTGCCAACATGTGCTCAACACCTTTGAGGTGAGACATTCCTGGAGAGCTCAGGGTCAGTTCTGTCCCTTGGGCCATTCCTGGGGAGCTCAGGGCCAGTTCTGTCCCTTGGGCCATTCCTGGGGAGCTCAGGGTCATTTCTGTCCCTTGGGCCATTCCTAGAGAGTTCAGGGTCAGTTCTTTCCCTTGGGCCATTCCTGGAGAGCTCAGGGTCAGTTCTGTCCCTTGGGCCATTCCTGGTGAGCTCAGGGTCAGTTCTGTCCCTTGATCCCAGAGTGGGAGGCTGAGGCCTGTGTTGGAGACACCTTTGGCAGGAGAACCTGGGAGGTTTTTTGGCCAGGCTTTGCCTGATCGGTGTATGGCCTGTCTCCCTTTCCCTTGGAGTGACTGTAAAGCTCAGTCACTTCCAAAAGCACCTGGAGCTCTGTCAGAGCTTCCCAGCCTTTCCAGGCTCCGGCCAGAGCAGTCCCAGCACAGCAGGGTGGTGGCTCTGTGTCACCCCAGGTGACATTTGTGTTTTGCTTTTGTTTCAGAGGAGCATGAAGGAGTTCAGGGCACAGAAGGAGGAGGAGATGCAGTAGCCTTTGGGAATGGCATGGATGTAACCTCTGTGTTGAATTCCCTGTGTCCAAAATAGGTCTTTTTTGTTGTTCTTTTTTTTTTTTATGACTTTCCTGCAAAATGTATTTTCTTTAATAATAAAGTTTATTAATTTAGATGCTGTAGAGTTCACGCTGTGTCCTGCTCAGCACAGGGATGGAAAATCATAGAACGTGGAGACAGATTGCTCCACAGATTGGGAAATTTATGGAAAGTGGGCTGGTCTTGAAATTCCTCAGTCTCTGTTTTCCTTGAAACCCATTTGTCTTTATGATTTATTTGTAAAACACTTACATTTCATTGAAAGTTAAGCTAAAAGCCCACCCCAACACCTGGAAAATGTTTTAATTGCATGTCTCATCTCTTCTCCCCTTTTCTTCTCTCCATTTTTTTCTATGACAAGGTAGAAGGGGCAAAGAAGGAAAAGAGAGAGAGGGAAAAGAGAGATGTGGGAAAACCAACAAAAAATCATCAAAATCCTGATAAATACAACTTTTTCATGTAGTTTTTCTGAAAATTTTGGCAAGAGTGTTAGAATGGAATCACATGGATTGCAGTCACAGACTGGTTTGGGTTGGGAGGGACCCCCACTCCCTCTCCTCCCACCCAACGGGTAGGGACTCCTTCCCCTATCCCAGGGTGCTCCAAGCCCTGTCCAACCTGGCCTTGTTAAAATTGCTGGCAAATCACCTGGGGGATGAATTATTGCCAATAATAAATGCGAGAGAGCCCTTTCCCATATTTTACTTGGTTCTAGTGGCTCTTCCAGCTGAGATTGGACCTTCTCCACTGCCTTTCCCACCTCCACATGACCACGAGGATGTCTCTGTCCCTCACAGGGATTTACCCAGGCTTTCTTGGTTTTTACAGCTGGGAATTGTCACTCTTTCCTCCTCACCCCACAGAGTGACCACCCCAACATTCCTTCCCTTCCCACACGCATCCCCCCGCCCCACGTTCCACCCTGAGGCAGTGGCCAGGAGTCCCTTGGTTTTCCTGCGAGGAAATGAAAAATCCTGTGAGGATGTGAATGCCCTTCCCTCTCCTGCAGAGGTGACCGCTGGGGTCAGGGGCTGGGCTTGGAGCTGGTCCTGGGGAATGCTCCAGCTCCTTCCAGCTGGGTTAGGACACGACGGCAAAGCTGATTCAGGCCCAGCCAGGAAGAGCCTGGGAGAGGATCGGAGGGGTCCTGCTGTCCCTGTGCCTTGTCCTGGACAGTGACACGGATTTAGGAAGAGCTGTACTTGTTGCTCAGGCGGGAGCTGCTGCGGTCCAGCCCCAGCTCCTGCCCCGTGGCTTTCCACTTCCCAACAGATCCCTTCTCATCCGTGGGGGTGATGCTCAGGGCCGGCCTCTGGCACCAGCAGCACAGGCAGGACTGGGGAGACACAAGGGGGAGAGGTCACACGTGGGATATGCGAAAAGAGGAGGAAATATTCCCGTATTGTCCAGCAGGTGTCCCTGCACAGTGCCAGGCTGGGAATTGCTGAGCCTTGCTGTCCCGTAGTTCTGCTGGGAGTGGGTTTGCCAGGATACAGCTGCTGAGGGTGGAAAATGGTACTGAAATCTGGGACATTTTTTATAATTGTGTGTTCTCATCATTAGGGGACAGAAAATACAGGTGATGCTTAGCTTCCATCCCAACAGGTGGGCTCAACTCCCATCCCATCCCATCCCATCCCATCCCATCCCATCCCATCCCATCGTCACAGAGACATTCCAAAACTTAATTTAACCCTTCTCATGTCCCTCCCACCCTCTTCATGCCCATCAGGAGGGCGGTGCAGTCCGGGCAAGGAATTACTGCAAGCAGGAGGTGGAAGGCAACTGCCCCAGTCTGGCCCAAGCCACCAGGGCCTGTGCTGGTCCCTGGCTCCCAGGGCTGGGGGCTCCCAGGCCGGTGTCACCTGCTGGGGACCCTACCTGAGCAGCTCACAGCGGTTGGGATCCGTCTGGTCGTAGATGGTCTTCTTGAGGATGCGGCTGAGGTGCAGGGGCAGCCAGCAGAGCGCGAAGATCACCACCAGGCAGAACACGGTCTTGGCCACCTCCCGGCGCTGCCAGACAGGGTCAGGGGGGAGGATTAGCACAGGGGATTCCAAATCGTGGAATCATGGAATGGTTTGGATTGGAAGGAACCTTAAAGTTCATCTCGTCCCGCCATGGGCAGGGACATTTTCCAGGTTGCTCCTGGAACCTGGAATCAGGTCCAGGCTGCAGAAAGGGGCAGGGCAGCAGCAGCTCCACATGGGCCAGACTCCTCCGCAGCACAGCTCCTGGTGGCTCTGCTGGGATGGTGTTCCCTGGGACACGGGGCCTCCTCCATCCACCCAGCACACTATTAAGGTGACAACCAGCTGGAGCTCCTCAGGGAATCATTCCCAAAGTGTGGGAGGGGACAGTGAACTCTTCCCTGCACCCCTTGTCTGGGATTTGGCACATCCAGCCTTTGGTCCAGTGTGGTGTGGGCTGGGATAAATGACCAGGAGAGCTTTAATGAAACTGGGCTGCGACCAGAAGGGTTTGGGGTCATCCCCAAGGCTGGAGATTATGAAGCTGAAGGCCCTTTTCCCTGCAGGTAATCCCTGCACCAACGTGCCAAGATCCACTGTAAGGATGTTGGATCCACTTGAGGATCTTTTCTGCTCCGAGGCCAGCATGCACACCCACAGGTGCTGCTCCCAGTAGCTCAGCTCCACCATGTCGAAGGCGATGGCCTCGGGCACTGCCAGCACGATGGCCACTGCCCAGATCAGCAGCACCTCCACGGCCTTCCACATGGGGATCCCAATGCCCTGGATCCGGCTCCAGGACGCCACTGCTCGGTACCTGCCCGCATGTGGGAACGTGACAGGAGCAGATGGGAGTGAGAAGAGTGGCCAGGGAGGGGAGCAGAAGGTGCAGGTTAGAATTGTCCCCAAAGGTCCTTTACTTCACGCCTTCCTCCTCCACCTCTGAACCTTCCCAAGTGTGGGAATGGGAAGCAGAGGCTCAGAGGATGGATGGGATGGGGGCTGTCCTTGGCCACCCTTCCTCACTACCCCACCCACACCATGATTCTCCCATCAGCCTTTCCCAGCAGGATTTCAGCTCTGTCACCAGAGAGCTCCTGCTGGATTGCAGCTCCATGAGAGCAGTCTGTCCCCATCTTGGCACTGGCCTGGGGACGAGCTCCTGGTTCTGCCGCGGGTCCCCGCCAAGGGACAGGGGCAGGCTGGGCAGGGCGGGGGTGGCTGTTGTGTCTCACCTGTCGATGCTGAGGGCACAGAGGCTGAGCACCGTGATGCCCACGGAGGCTTTCTGGATGAAGGGCACCAGCTTGCAGACCTGCACCCCGAAGGGCCAGTCCTTGGCCAGGAGCTGGGGAGGATCCACAGGTTACCAGACTGCTTTGGGAACTTGCTTCCAGCTTCCTCTCTGTGGGTGCACCCACGAGGTGTGGGGAGCCCACAGAGAGCAGGGAGAGCTCCCTGAGCTTCCCACTGCTGGGAATGTGGGCACTTTCCCACGGTTTGCTGGCACTGGGAAACTTTCATTTCCCTGACTGGACACAGAGATGAAGGATGGTCCAGACACCAGTTCCTGACTCCAGAGCCTGGGGAGTTTTGAATGGATCTGAGTCCTAAACTCCACACTAGGCTGCTTTAGATTGTTTTCAAAGTGAGAATGAAAGTCATGCTCTGACACAGCCAAAATCCAGCCTGGACAGCTCCAAAGCTGTGTGTCCTAAGCCTTTTGCAGACTCTGATCCCTGAGCACACTCACTTTCCTGACAGAACACGGGCTCTGTGGCCCCACGCTCAGCTGGGACAAGCAGAGGTGGGGACAGTGTGTCCTGATGGCTGAAGAAATCCAGGCCACTCATTCCAGAGGAGAATGAGGCTGAGTTCACAACCCTTCTGTCCCCCTGACCCCTGGAGCCCTTCCTAAAGCTACCCCAGAATCAACCACCCATTCCAGCTCTTTCCTTTGGCCTCAGCAGCAACACAAACCATGGAATCCCAGAAGGGTTTCAGAGGGACCTCAAAGCCTATCCAGTCCCACCCCTTGTCACGGCAGGGACACCCTCACTACCCCAGACTGCTCCAAGCCCCATCCAAGCTGGCCTTGGGCACTTCCAGGGATCCAGGGGCAGCCCCAGCGTGCAGGAGCTCCTGCCAGGCCCCCGAGGCGGGAGCAGCCCCATCCCAGCGGTGCCAGGCAGAGCTGACCTTGTAGACATTGATGGGCAGCGCGATGAGGATGTAGAGCAGGTCCCCCAGGGCCAGGCTGGCGATGAGGACGTTGGGGCCATTCCTCATGCACTTGTTCTTGTAGATGATGCGCAGCAGCGTGGAGTTGCCGATGATGCCCACGATGAAGATGGTGCAGGACACGATGGTGTTGATGTACTTGAAGACGTGGCGGATGTCGGCGGGCCTGGCGCACACGGGCAGCAGCGGCGGCTCCGAGGGGCGGCTCCCGGCAGCGCCGTCCGACGCGTTGGACACGGGCACGGCCCACAGCAGCCCGGGCTGCGCCAGGCCGCGGGCCTGCTCCTGGCCCGGCACCTCCAGGGACATGGTGCTCTCCTGGAAGGCCCGTGGGGTCTGGCTGTGCGCCCCGGAGAAGAGGCAGCTCAGGACAATGGCCAGAGTGGCCGGGAATGAGATTGGTCCTGCGGAGGAGAGGACGGCAAAGCTGGGGGCAGGAGTCCTCATGGTGCTTGTGGAATGTCCCCGGGGTCCTGCTGGGATCTGCCAGTGGAGAAAGGAACCAGGGAGAGAAATTGTTTAGCAGAGGATGGAGAGAAGGAAAGTTGTCCAGCCTGGAGAGGAGAAGGTTGAGGTCTGACCTCATCGGGGTCTGAAAGCTCCTCACAAGAGGCAACTCTGATCTCTGCTCACTGTGAGCACGGACAGACCCCAGGGAACCGCTGGAGCTGTGTCAAAGAGGGAATGGCTGGATATCAGGGAAAGGTTCTTCCCCCAGAGGGTGCTGGCACTGCCCAGGCTCCCCAGGGAATGGGCATGGCCCCGAGGCTGCCAGAGCTGCCAGGGATGCCAGGGTGGGGTTGTTGGGGTGTCTGTGCAGGGCCAGGGGCTGGGCTGGATGATCCCTGTGGGTCCCTTCCAACCTGGGATATTCTATTTTATGATTCAATTCTATTTATGAGTTGCTGGAGAGCTCCATCATCCCAGCAAACAAACAATGCCAGACTGGATCCCACCAGGCCAGAGCTGTTGACCCTGAGGGTGGGGTTTGTGCTGCTAAATTTAAACAGCGCAGTAGAACAAACTGAAAGGAGAACAACCCGTCCCTTGTGCCTCTGACGTGGCCCTGCAGTGGCTGGGACACCTGCCTGTGCTCAGGGACTGTGGGAGCAGGGACTGCCCCTCCTGCACTGCTGCTCCTGTGGACAGTCCCAGCTCCCTTCTGTGCCCATCCCCCTCCTCACTTACAATCCCAGAATCACTGACATTGGAAAAGCCCTTCAGGATCATCGAGCCCAAGCTGTGCCCAATCCCTACCTCCTCATCAGCCCAGAGCTCTGAGTCCAGGTGTTCCTTGGACACCTCCAGGGATGGACACTCCAAAGCTCCCTGGGCAGCCCCTGCCAAGGCCCAACCACCCTTTCCATGGGGAAATTCCTGCTGGTGTCCACCCTGAGCCTCCTCTGGCCCAGCCTGAGGTTGTTCCCTCTCTTCCTGTCCCTGTTCCCTGGGACCAGAGCCCGACACCCCCCAAGCCCCCATGGCTGTCCCCTCCTGTCAGGGAGCTGTAGGGTTTAGTTTTGGGACATTTAGCTCCTGACAGGTTGAAGTTGCAGTTTTGGGGCATCTCTGTCAATGCCAGCACATCTGGGCAGTTCTGCAGTCCCACCTCGGGGTCCAGAGAACCAGCAGAACTTTTCCAGCTCATTCCACAGGGAACCCGAAGCCTCACCAACTTTCCCCTTCCCAGCTGGTCCCACGGCTGCCCCTGCAAAGGGAGGGCTCAGCACAGACCTGCTGGGAAAACACTGCAGGGCTTTTTCCAGCAGTGCCACACTGACACCTGAGCTCTCACCCCTCCAATGTGCAGCAGCACAGCCCCTCCTTGCCCATCCTCACCCCACTAACTGAACCCTTCCTCCCCAAAGCCCCTGCCTGCCCGGCTCCCTACTCAGGGCTGCAACCCTCCCTGGGCTCTTTCCAGCCCTGGCTGCTGACACAGGGAAAGGTCTCCAGAGCTGGAGCACCAATGAATATCCCCGGAGTGGTTTTGTTTGCACAGCTCTGACCAGGCAGGAAGATCCCAGGGGCTGCACCACGACCACGGGAGAGAGCTGAGGGTGGTGGTGGCACCATCCCAGAGGGTGGGTTTGAAGGGGTTCTGGGACATCCAGGCTGAGAAATGAGCCCAGAGAAGGAGAAGGAGAGGGCAGCAAACTCCAGCCTGTTCCTCAAATAGGGATAAATCTGGGGGCTCCAGGATGGAGTGAGTAAGGAACACTTTTATCAAACTGTGAAACTTCCCAGCTCTGAAAAAAGAAGAAATTGCTGTGGCTGGACTGGGAACTGGAGCCGTTGTGAGAGTGCCTGGGATTTCCCTGCTCCAGGGAACAAATGAGGCAGGGATCAGGGAGCCTGACTGGGATCAGAGCGGGGACTCAAGCTCTGCTCTGACGCCTCCAGGCAGAGCTGGGATCTGATCCCAAACCCACTGCACCCCGGGACCTGCTTCCAGGAGCAGCCATCCAAGGCACTCCCAGGTTGCAGCAGGGCTCTCCTTGCCCATGGCAAGGGGAATCCCAGGCCCAGCACAGCTCCCACCCTGGGAGGAAGGAGGTGGCCAGGCCAGCCAGGAGCCCCCAGGACTGAGCACAGCTCCTGTGGACACGGCTGCACCGCCCCAGGGGCTCGGCCTTTGTGGAAATGCCTGGGCTGGGCTGGGAAGGGTGAAGAAAGGAAGGAAGAGATGGATAAATACCCTAAAGGTTCACAAACGTCGGCACAAATCCCTGCTCTGACCTGTTCCAGGGATTTCAGCCTCACTGAGCTCCCCAGCCACGCCTGGCACAGGTGCCAATGGGGCTGTCCCAAACTCTCCTCCCCACCGTGCCCACCGGGTTGCAGCTCCCAGGGGAGGGCAGACCCCGCTCAGAATTCCTGCCCGAGGTCCCTGAGGGCTCTCAGGGACAGCTTTGGATGGCACAGCCACTCGTGGCTGGGGGACAGCGGTGGCACTGGCAGAAAGTGCCAGAGCACCCCTGGAGTCGTGCCCAGAGCCCCCCACAGCCCTGGGCTGTTTCAGGAGCCCAGCCTGACCTCAGAACTCTGGTAAAGAAAAATGTAGAAGCATAAAAACCCTGGGGCTTGGCAGGGGAGCTCATGTGAGGGAGGATCACAGGACACGGCTCCTGCCCAGCCCCTCCACGGCACAGCTGCAAAGCACTGGAGAGGAAAAACACTTCCTCCCCAGCTCGCCTTAAACTGAATCAAGTCTTGTATTAAATCCAAAATTTAAGCAAGGAGAAACTGTTTTCTCCTGTCCAACTGCCCATTTATTCCTTGCTCTTCCCATCTTGGAGTGCTTGGAAGCACAGCCCTTCCTCAGCTGAGGGAAACTGAGGCATGGGAGCATCAAGAAGCTTGTTCAGATGGGAAACCAATACCAGCGTGGTTAAACCCCAGATCCAGAACTGCTTTCACCCATCCCAGTAGGCATTTTAACTGTGCCAAGCCCAAATGACAGCTGAAGTCACGGGAATCCTGACATGGATTCAGGGAATCAGGGAGAGATCCCAGAGAGAAACTCAGACTGAAAACTGTCACCTTGACCCTACAGAGCCTGATCCTGTCTGAAAGGTGCTGTGAATGGGACTGGAATCCCTCTTCCCTGGAAGCCCAGGAGAGCCCAGCACCTCCATCCTCATGTCCAGCAGCCTCTCCCTCCATCCTCCTTCTCCTCTTCCTCTCCCTGCCTTCCAGAGTATTCCACCTCTCCAGACTCATCTCTCCAGACACCAAACACAGTTTTTCTGTGGATAAATATTGCAGCACAATCTCTGTGGATGAAGGAGAGGAGGGAGAGAGGTGACAGCAGCACATCCCACTGCTCCCCGCCCTGAGCCCAGCCTGCTCCAGGAGGAAGAGTTTCCACCCCAGGAGTGATGGATTTCTCCTCTCCCTGCCACATCCTGGACCTGGTCCAGGCACCATGATCCCTTCAATGCCTCCCCCAGAGGGGGCTGCAAAAATTCACCTGACACAAGGAATCATTTTTTCTGCAGATTAATGCACAGAAGAGCAAAGCTCCCCATGGGAGTCGTTACCTTCCTGCTGACCATGGAATTCAGGATCTGTTCCTCAGGGCTCCTTCCCCCTGCCCGGGATGCTGGGCATGTCCTGGGGGAGTTGCAGTGGTTTGGATGCTGGAGTTGGCTTTTGTGAGGGGGCTGGAGCTGCGGGAATGCTCCTTCCTGCCGTGGCTCCGCAGTGGGTGGTTTTATAGAACATCCCAGGGCTCCCCCAGTACAGCCCCTGCGACCAATGGCTGAGGGCGGGATGGGGACGGAGGAGGGAAAAGCGGCAGAAACACGGGATAGCTCTGGGAAGGAGTGAAAATAATAAACAAATAAAGCTGCACAGGGGGTGGCACTGTCTGCTCCATGAGTGACAGGATCCTCATCTCAAGATTTGTTCTAAGTTGCTGATGAGAACTGGACCAGCCTTGCTTTTCTCAGTGGTCAGCGTTTGTAAAGAGGGTAGAAATCATCTGTACATGCAGGAAAAGCCAGGTTTAGTGGGAAGGACGCAGAGGTAGAGCCAGGTTTAAGTGGGAATGACATGGAGGTAGAGCCAGGTTTAATGGAAAGGACACAGAAGTAGAACCAGGTTTAAGTGGGAAGGACAGCAGGAAAAGCCAGGTTTGGTGGGCTGGGCTGGATGGACACATCCCATCCCTGGCCTTGACTGGAGCACTCAGCTGCTGCTCTGTTTTGTCCAGTAATACCCAGAGATGTTTTCACCCTGTGTGTCCCAGAGTTGACTCTTGAGATCAGTGGATCATTCCTGCACCTTGGTGTATTCCTGGGACTCTGGGGCTGGACTTTTGGTCTGGCCCAAGGGGGAGCAAACAAGTCCATTGCCAGCTGGAGGCTCTGAAGGGCAGCAGGAGTGACCTGGCCCTGTCCCCTCTGCTCGCTCCATCCCAGGCAGAGCAGGGAGCAGCCCCTCAAAGGGCTCCTCTGCCCAGGGCAGAATCCATGGATTTAACCACCCTTTAACCCTTTGGCCTCTGTGAGGAGCTGCCGCTTTTCCTGGGCTCTCTTCCCAAAACAGAGGAGTTTGGGGCGTGCAGGGCCCCCCTCCCTGCCCCTGGGGGGTCCTGCAGCCTATTCTGGGCAGTCACGTTCCTGCACGGGACAGGGCATGAATGGCCTTCTCTGTTCTGATGGGGACAAAGGATGACTCCAACCCCTGGGAGACCCCCAGGAAAACCCAACCTTGCCCAGCCAGAGGGTCCCTGACACACACTGGGGTCCAAGGCTGGTGCTGAGTCACTTCAAGGGTGAGAATGAAACCCCAGAGTGACGCCACGTCCCATGCTTTGTGTCACAGCAGGAAAGCAGGAAAGCTTCCTGGGGAGCCCAGGGATCCCTGAGGCCTGGGGAGAGCCACAGCTCAGGGCATCCATCCCTCACAGCTTTACCAGCTGTGGGAATGTCCAATGGCTTTGTAGTCCAAGCCAC